CATTCAAAACTATTTCACTTATTTATTACATGAACATCTATTCTTCATTCAAAAAAATTTACGAATAATCCTGAACAATTTGTGATTATTTTTTTAAAATCACGTGAATCTATCCATCCAAGAGCAATTTAAAAAAAAAAAAAACATTTAAAGAGTGCTTTAAAAACGCAATGTATCCATTTGCGAAAAACACTATTGAGAGCAACTGGTGACACTTATACTCTCAAATGGATATCGTGGTCAGAAAGCAAGAAACAGGCCGTGCACTGATATTTCACAGGCGATCTGCATAACGGATATCGCGTATCCCCTATATCGTCGGGTGGCGATTTGCGATTAGTACACTCGTCCGGTCTGGGTAAACGTAATCCAGAGGCGAGGTCGCAATGCATTCAATACGAATTGCTCCGTGCCCCGAATCGACACTGACTTAGGGGAAAAAAGAGAGGGCGAAAAAGTTCCCAGGATGAAAGAGAACGCGCGATGCTTTATTATTTAAATGAACGAAGATGCGGACTAAGGGTTGAACGTTATTTTTTTTTTTTTTTTTTAGTACCTATTATATACGTGAAAATTTATGTACGCTCTCGTATCGAAGAATTACAAAACAATATACTGGCTGATTAGAATTCAGATGGAACATCAGATCCTAATAGCTCGACCACGAAGAAGACGATCAACGATATATAAGCCGTTTAAAATTTCCATTAGAATTGTAAATATTTTTCAGAAGAAGCCGCGTATGTATCGCGTGAAAGCTGAAATCCGTGAATAATTCAATGGAAAAAAGCGACACAGAAGATCGATCTCACGAGGTTAAACGCGAGAAACTCGACGCGTGCACTTTCATGTTGGAAATCTTCAATCTTCCAAGTTTATACGCGACATTTATACGCGTGATTTCACGAATCTTTCACGGAGATACATCTCTGCCATGAAAGTGCAACTATTTGCAAGATAAGTTTAAGAGCAAATACATCGTTTCGTTTAAACACCCGCATCTGTTATTTGGAGAACAACAGGTGGACTCACATTCATTACGCCATTGGATACGGAAATGGAACGATGTTTCACGAGTCTTGCGAAATATTCATGAAACTTTGTTGTATCGGTAATTCATTTGAACGAAGATAATTGTAATGGACGATCTCGAGTAATTTGCACCGCTATTAATTAAGACAAGACTTGGAAACACGTTTAAAACACATTATTCTATTATATAGTAACTTGAGAATCGTCTCGAATGGGCTAATCAATACACTTGAAAATATTATGCGCAGTTACATGGGAGGTAAATGTAGCAAATAAAGCAATAAATTAGTCATCCATTAAATAAAATCACCCAGAATAGACGAGATATCTTGATTATTACCTTGTCGCAATTTTTCTTACGTATGAATGAGATTTCTTTTATTATAACACGAAATGAAATATTATAACTCAATTTCAACAATGTAATTTCTATTTGTTATTCATTATTTGTTATTTTTGAAAATTATACGTATTATTTGTTTGTTAATTTGTTGAATCAGAGATTTTTTTTTTTGTTATAGATGACATTTTATTATATTTGATACTTTCTGTAAAAATATTTTACTTGGAAAAGAATAAGAATGTTTCGTTATTACATATTACATTATTCAACCTTAATCCCCCTCTACCAACAATGAAATATCATATATATCTATAAATAAATATTTTATTTCAAGTTTTCAGATGAAACATTTCTAATAAAAGATATCTCGTTTAATAACATTGGCATCATAGTGAAGATATTTCGTGCGTAGCATTGCATTTACGATATCGAGATATCTTGTCTTCGATAGAGAAATGAATAATAGTGAAATAATAATAGAATAATATTAACAATATATTAATTATTATTATTTCGTTTTAATTATTATATATATATATATATATATATATTTAACATCAGGATGAAAATAATCGATTTCAACGGTTAAACGAAGAATAATAATCCTTCATATGTATATATATATATATACATATGAAGGATTATAAGTTTTATAAATATGAAGATACTTTAAAATATAATAATATTTTTCAAGATAGAAGATAATAGAATTTAGAACAATAATTATACTATTGAATCTTACCTCAAATCCTCTGAATGAATTGCTCAAATTCATAATGAATAAAATTTAATGCAAGAATATCACACTTAGAGAAATATATTTGGCAAAGTTTCGTATTAGAATAACAACAAATAAAGGTAGAATTGAGGCGAAGATTATAAGAATCGTGGATCACATTCGAGAATAAGCACGGATTATCTATAGGCGATATTTGGAATAACAACAGGGGATCAAATAATTTCCAATAAACGTAGGAATAATAAATAGAAATAATTCGAATAATTTTCAAAAATATATTTTTAGTTAATTAAAGAAATAGAATTTACATTGAAATTTTTATTAATTTATATTTTTTTTGATAATGGTTAATTCTTTATAAAATATTTTATTTTGAAAAAAATCTATTTATATCAAAAAATTATTAAATCGAAAAGAGACTTAAATTGAATTAAATTATCCAATAAATGAAAATATTTTTTTAATAAAAATTCAAATAAAATATATACAAGAAAAATGTATTTTTGTAACAACAATTTCTTTCTCTAATTAAATTTTTTTTCTCTTTGCAATGTAATAATTTTCTCTCGCTATAAAGATATTAATAACTTGATAACTCTTGATACTAATGCAATTTCTTTACAAAAATTTATTTTTTCTTCTAAAAGCAAGAAACGTGACGAAACTGACATCTATCTATTTTAAAAATTAAAATGATAATTTCAAAAACAATTTTTTTCGGTAAATAAACTGAAAAGTTTATCTGTAAATACGTTAGCAAATTTATTACAAAAAAAAAAAAAATAAATAAAGCAGAATAGTAAAAGAAAGATCGAAGAATATCACTTATCAATGTGTAGATTCGCTCTAACATTGAATGAAAAAATAAACTCGACGCAATTACGCAGATATAAATTACGTCTTAGTAAATTGCATATCTTACTACGATACAATGATTGATACGCAATAAGAACTTTATAGGAAGAATTGGCAATAAAATCCGGAATAGCAGGATGTCGCATAGTTAAATTACTAAGTTATTGGATATCTTCGATCGATTATCTTCATGTCCAAAATATTGGAACTGTCTTCAAGATATATAGTATATATCTTGTAGCTTTCGAAGAAAATTTTAAATTAGAATTAAGAAATTTAAAATACATTTGTTCGTTGATTATAAAAAAAAAGTATTTAATTACAATTAATAAAAATTTCTAATGAATACTCCTTCGACATGAAATATTTAATTATATGATATATATATGATTTTACTTTAGTAATTGAGACATCTCATTATATCAAATTAATTAAATTATTGATAAAATCTTTGAAATATGTAGATACTTTCTGTAATTTAATATTATATAATTTTATATTAATATCTAATAATCTAGTAAAATATATATATATATTATTTATTTAATAATTTATTATTAAATAAATATTAATTATATAATAATTTATATTTTGATGTAATTTAATACGCTTTCTTTTCGTTATAAATATTTCCACGTATATTAAAAATTCAATGTTAAATTCCATAAGATTTCTAACTAACAATTTTGAAAAAATAAAATTAACATATGAATATTCTTGTAAAATAGAATATCTAAATAAAGATTTTTATTTAAAAAGAATATATACTATACTAAAAAATTTCTTCTAAAATGAAATAAAATTTTTGAATTAAAAAAATAAATTTAATTTCTTTTCAAATAAATTTATTTTATCAATCTTTTTTTAAATTATTAAGATAATTTCTAAGAAATTAAACTTAATCTCCATTATTATAATTAAGATGCGTTTTTAGAATAAAATAATGTTTTTTTCGATAGAATTAGACCGAATAAATGAATTTTGTCAGAATTAAATGTTTTTGGTAACAGAAGGAAGGATTCATAATAAAATTTCTCTATATCGCGATAATTAAATTTTAATTAAAACCTCAACGCCAGCTGGAACAAATAGAAAATTAAATTTCAAAGATAATCGTTTAAATTATATGTCATTGTACGAACACATAACGAATTACATTAATGTAAATATATTACATATATCATTAATGAAAATTTCTGTTTACTTTCAAATATTGAAACAAACAAAAAATACATAACGAAGTGAACGAAGAAAGAAAGTGATTCAACGCGATGTTATATTGCGATGTATGAAACATAAGCTAAGGTCGAATTAACGCGCCCATGAAAACGGACAACCATGACATTCGAACATGATACCCTATTGCACGAAAGCGAGAACTTCGGCGAAACGTATTCTAACCTAACGAACATACACGCATAATCGACATACGATGTTTGTCGTTTTTTCGTTCGCGCCTAACCATCTACTATTATAACGTCGCAATAATTCTTTCATGATACAATACCGATAAATCTAGATCAAAATTTTTAATTATTCTTTCATCCTTCTCTATCGAATTGCTTTTATTTACATATCAAATTATTAAATTATCGAACATAAACAAATAAGAAAAAAGAGAAAATCGCTGGGATTAGAATGATATCGATTGAATACCGGCGAGATAAAACTACTGTGAACATCAAAATCAAGATTATGATGCACGTTCCGTGATCTGTCACATCCGATTGACAGGTAGCATCCTATAATAGACAGTGCGCGCCACGCAGCCCCAACCTGACACGCATCTCGAATAACCTATGATGCATATGTTATAAAAGAAACACATTAATCCGATACAAGGTCAAAACAGTACGCGAAGATTAATGGCCTTGAGGCAAGGGTGCGAAGAGAAAAATGCGAGTGATTGTGGAAAAAAGGGCGTGTGAATGTCCGTCGAGTGTCTGGCGTCCACAATGACACGAAGTAACAACGCCAGTATCGTATGTAATACGAAAGTTGTTCAAAAATCTAATATTATTTATTGGTTACCTGGGTATACAGTTCGGTGCAGTACAATCCACTTCCCAAGTGGCAAACAGCTTCATGGGAACGGGCCGGGTGGCCGGGGCTGTCGTCTTCGTACGCTCCGCCATTTTTGGCCCGTCGGCCCACAGAAACACTCACCACACCTTCAGTTCACCGCGGCTCGCGGCTGACTGACTGAGTTATCCCGCTCGTGGCGCCATACGAAGACAGTTTCGTGAGTCGACGAAGAATTACGGAAAAGTATGAAGACACCTTTCGGAAAGTAACGGAAGTAAACGAGCACGGATTATGTATCCGCTATGGAATCACATTCGCGAAATAATTGTACGGTCGATAATGTTTTTCGAATGCATTCTATAGTTCTGGAATATTTTAATTAATATAAAATTGTACAAAAATTAGCAAAAAAATCTTGATATAATTTATGATTATTATAGACTTTTTTTGTTTGTACATAAAAATGTATATACTGTTATAATATAGCAAAGATAATACAAGAAATAATAATAGGTTCATTTAATGAATAATAAATAATCTTTTGAAGAAATTTTTATTATAAAAATGCACATATGATGTGAATAATCAAATAAATATACACATTTCGTTTTTTTCAAACGTATTTCAATTTATGTAATTACCAAAATTAAAGCAAGTGATATGATAACCACCACATTAATATAGGTTGAATACCTGCTACAAATAGTATAAAATAGAGTCTCCTTTTATTACCAGAAGCTGTGTATGCGCCCTGATTTTGTGGAATGACCTTTAATTTTAATGACCGTATAAGAAAAAATGCTAAAGATATACTGGTATATAGCCAAACTATATAATAACCAAATTTTCGAAATAATAATGAAACCAAAAGAGCTGCATTAATACCAACATATTTATAACCACAGTAAGCTAATATATCTAAAGTTGAAAGACTTGTTTCAAGATTCATCATATAAAGGCTTACAATGTGTACAACTAATTCTATGACATCCCACGCAAGAGCAGAACTAGCCAAAATACTTAACTGTTCTGGATTAAAACGTTGCTGAGTTCCTGAAACTATTCCAGCCAGAACTATATATGTTAAAAATGCCATAGTTGGAATATATAGATCTGGTGCATTCTTTTCATAACGTGGTTGTTGTGGTACTTCTTGTTCGTACTTCACAGACCAGTCCTGTTAAAAATAATTAATTACTTATATTTGTTTAACAATAATTAAATTTATTCCTATATTTAATAAAACTTACTTTATGAGTAAAAGGAAAAAATAACAAAGATAGCTTTGACATAACGTAATCTGTATCAACAGCAAAATAATATTTCAAAGCTGTAACTGGCACGTATCTTTCAAAATGTTGTTTTCCAGAACCAACTAAGACATTTCCATATTGTACAGCCATATTTGTAACTATTGGTTGTGATAATAATTGTGTTGCAAATTGTGATGATGAATAATCATCACCATGACCTTCAGGAGATGAATAATGTTGCATTGGTACTGTATTAAATCCATATGGCGGAGGCTGTTCTGGTACATTGAAACCATATTCTGGTATCATACCATTATCCATAGGAATCTATAAAATTCATAAAAATATTGATTTCTCATAATATATATTAATTTATGTTTGTTTTTTTTTATATTTATTAAATTTTACCTGTTGATTATACATATATGGATTTTGAGGTATTGATGGTGGTGGAGATAAACCAGCAGAAGGATCAAGTAATCTTTTTGGTTTTCCTATTAAATATTTTTCACATAAATCATTTTATATAATATATTATAACAAAATATTTTAACTTATATTATATTCAATAAGGAAATTAAAAATAATATTTATTAAATAAATTAATTTGTAACCTTAGGAATCATAACCTCTATATAATATTGCACGATATTACATGCGCGATATATTTTAATATATATCAATAAATATAAAATATGTTAACAAATATATGTATAATATTTTATTAAAGTAAATGATAAATATCAAATCTAAACTATATTGAGAAAGAAATTTAAAAAATTAAATTCATGGATTGACTTACCTCGTCGTGAACTGGAATTATTATAATTCATGACTTTTTAATTAAATTTCTTAAACTGTTTATCAGAAAACACAAAATAACAAAGGAAGTTTTATTGCTTTCGGGTTCAAACCCAATTATTTTCAAGAAGAATGTCAAAAACAATTCATGCTACACGTCGCCATAGCCCATCAATCGTTGCGAATTCTCCCACTCCAAAAATTTCCAATTAAATACGTTATGATGTTGTCATTTACTATCATATATTAAATTATCATAATTAATTTGTTTATTTATTATATTAATAATTATAATTTAATAATTTATTTACTTATTAAATTTTTATTTAATTTAAATTTATTATTTAAAAATTTTTTATAAAAATCCTCACTTTGAATTATTTAATTAATTCATTAATTGTATTTATTATGAAAATAAATTAAATAAAAAATATATAATGATATACATATTATATTATATAAAATATGTAATAAAAATAGTTTATAAGATAAATGTATATATATATATATATATATACGTTTTATATATTATTTATAATATATTTATAGTTACATATATAAGATGTAATAATATTACATATTAAAATATAATACGTTCAACGAAATATAAAAATCAAATATATTTGTATTATATAAATATTAATAAAAAATAATTCGATTTTAAAGAAGAACAAAAAGTTATGGTCAGGGGGCACCCGGGTTTGAACCGGGGACCTCTCGATCTGCAGTCGAATGCTCTACCACTGAGCTATACCCCCTGTTGAAATCTAGTCTCTAGCAATAAAATTTAACGTAAATATTATGTAAATATTCTTTATAAAATCTTTTAATACATATCTTTTATAAATGCTATAATATTAAGTTATTTCTTATTAAATGCTTAAAGTAAAATAAATTTATATTTATTTTTAATTTAATAAGAAACATATCATTTTTATTAGAATATTTATTAATATGATTTTTTCATTAAAATCCAATTTTTATTAAGCATATAAATTATATAGTACAATATGAAATATATTAACATAATATTATGTTAACATAATACATGAATTACAAAAGATATTTATTTACAATTATATTAATTATTTTCACTATACTATCTTATTCCATATTATTTTTTTTTATAATTTTAAATTGTATTTACAATTTGATTAAAAATTAATTATTATTATATCTTTGTTTTTAATTTATGTTTTTATATCGCTTTCATCGTTAAAGATGTTAATCAAAAATTAAAATAAGAAAAATATACTAAAACTAAAAAATACTAAGATCTACTATCTACTCGTGAAAAAATAAATATTTCTAGTTCTGTTGATACGTTACTGAGAGAATGGTAACTAGGCAACACTTACATTAACTAGTCGCGGCATCAAAGAGATGTCAGTGCGCGTCCCACCCTCGTGTGGTGCGCTTCATAATTTTTTACACGTAAATATAAACCTCGTGCACAAAATTAGTAATAAATATATATATTTCAAGAATATATCTCGCGATGGAAGATATTCAAAAACTAACAGCACAATTTGTCAGAAAGTAAGCTTCAAATGAAATAACATTTTTCTATGCTATACACTTTTTCAGCACTATGTATCAAATTCAAATAATTAAAACTTACATGAAACGCATGTATAATGCTTACATTAAACATGATTTTCTCCTTTCTTGTTTTAATATATTTTTAATAGGATTTTATTATAATTTTATAAATTTTCTCATACTCATTATAGAAATATAATTTTTTCTTTACATATTAAGAAATAAAGTAAAGACAATATATATAATTTGTAATTAAACAGTTGTTATTATACTAACAGATATAATTATTAAACTAAAAGACAACTGTTTGCTGTTTAGTAAATATATATACAAAATTACATATTTTTTGACAACATAACATTATAAAATTATGTAAATGACATTTAATATAAAATAAGAATTTATAATAAAAAATTAACACAAAAACAATTATTTAATTATATCCTAACAATTATAATATACAGTTATATTTAAATCATGCATTTTTAATTTCATTAATTCATACATTATGTAAAAAAATATGTTAATTTTCTCAAATATTTTTTTCAAAAATAATATTTTATTAATTATATAAATTAAAAATAATCAGATTTTCCTCCAAATCACAATACGCGTTAACCAAAACTTGAATAATATACATATTCATCAATGAAACACGTTTACGACGCTTATCTCAAGAGTTATTCGATTCACTTCAAACACGCTAATACTATTCACTGTCTAGTAACTCGCTTTCATTAAATTTTCTTAAATGAGCATGAATATATGATGCACAATGAAAGGAACGACCAGCATCGAGTCAAAAGATAATTCGATCATGGACTTTCCTTCTTATTCGAATCACTGCAATTCCTTTCACTCTCTGCTTCTGATCGACGATCCCGTATGATCGACTCGATCATCAATAAACAATATATAACAAATCAAACGTTCTCACATTGTTACTGCGCAGCACACGTAATCTCACGTGAAACCGGAGATGTTATCATTAAATATTAACGACGCGCCATCACGAAGGAACGAAGGCCTCCGCGAATTATTAACGGAGCAATAACGATCGACGTGCGGCACGGTGAATCAACGAAATAACGATTTTCAGTCATCGCCGGATTACGGCAACACGTGCACGTGGGTTCGTTGTACGTGTGCATTGTGCATAGATATCATTAAACGTTCGCCACTTCGTTAGACCATCATCATCACGTTGATTTATGAGTAGAAACATTCTTGAAATTTAATTTGGAATACACTTTCTTTCAAATCTCAGCTATTATCGCTGTAAGAATGTCATGTTTTTTTATATCTACTTCCTACATTTGCAATGGTGATAGCTATGCTTCCGGTAAGATGCTTTGTTGCGATTTACTTTTTCTAGATAGAGAATGAATCGTGTCGTGAAAAGCGAAGAGATTATTCTACGTCACGAACAATTATTATCATCGTTACGATTTAATTAAAAAGTTCGAGATGCTACGACTAAAATGTTATCGATGTGCTTTTTATTTTCAGGAATATTTGAAAAAATTTTCTTTATGATTTCTTTGTAATAATTATTAGATCAATTTGAATAAAAATACATTTTTTTCATATTTTTCGTTATTTTAAAAATCAGTATGTTGCGATTTATTCAATGTTAAATATTCAGGAGAGTAAAAAATCTATTCGTGACGATAATTATT